CCACTGTCTCCCTTCCCAGGTGAAGAAAAACTAATCTTGGCTATCAGCCGAGCTTGGAATAGAGAAGAAAGCATTTGCAAGGTCCAATACATAATGATAAGTTCTCAGCTGAGTCATCAGCTGATCCATCAAGTCATGAACCAAAAGCATAGCTGCATGCAAAGGAGGCACTACTTTGTATAGTTCTTGATAGTCTACAGTCATTCTCCAGGTACCGTCAGGCTTTTTCTCTGGCCATAGTGGAGCATTAAATGGGCTATGAGTCAGACGAATAATGCCAACTTTCTCCAACTCCAATATAGTGGCACCTATCTCTGCATGTCCTCCCAGTAAGTGATATTGCTTTACATTAACTACATGTCTTGGCTGGGGTAACACCTGTGGGTCATGTTTAGCATATCCCCATAACACAGGCTTTACTGTCTGTATTTGTAGACGAAATTCTCCAAATGTTGTTTGCAGATGCAAACCATAAAGTACATGCATGCCCAAGATATATTCAGCTACTGGGGATACAAATACAGTATACACATGAGGGGGCAATCGTCCAATGCTTAATGGCAGTGACATAGCTTTGACTTCAATAGTATGTCCTCCATAGCCATCTATATGAACTGCGGCCCCTGGAAACTTATGTGGATTGCCATATATCAGGCTACATTCTGCACCTGTATCCACCGATGCCAAAACATGCTGTACATTTGTCCTCGACCAATGTATTGCCAATTCAATGTGAGGCCTCCAGTCCTCGCCTGCCCCCAAAGGATGAGTAACTTGGCCTGCTCCCTAATCGAAATGGAACATTTCATCCACCTGCTTGGGAGCAATAAAAAAATCCTTTGAATCCACTGAGCATATTTGCTCCCTGTGTCCAGACATTTAGCAGGGCGTAATTGCTGCCACAAGGCAAACAGGACTGCATTTGGCTGCCAGTCAGTTTTCTTGCTATCAGCCCCTGCTGCAAGCAAGTCAAGCCACATCTGCTTATGGTTAGTCTTGCTTGGTCCCCTTGGAATAAAATCCTGAGCATGTGTTAGGAGTTTGGTCTTAGCCACCTTTCAGATCCCTTTTTCTTGTCTCTTTTTCTCTACTTCATGGCTGGCTATCATGGTCATTACTTCATATATAGGATGACCAATGTATGGGGCCAATATGGCCATCAGTGACCTAAAGGACACTGATGGGGCATTTTGCAGCACTATGTCTCTCATGCTGCCTGTAAAACTTTCATCATCTGGGCCATGGGTGTTTACATTAAATATGGACTGCCGCATCTCCAGCTCCCGAATTATTTGAACCAACTTAGAATATGTTTGCCGTTTACTTACAATCTTGGGCAGTTCTCCAATATTTGCCCACACAGTTTGGGCAGTTGCATTCACCCATTCCATTAAAGAGTGATTACCTGGCCCTTGTGCATATCTGCAGCTATTCTGTAGCCACTGCCTCAGGGACAGGTGCATGATAATGAAGGCCAACTTTTCCATCTCCTCACCAGAGCATATCACACTGTCCACCCCTAGGTCCCATAACCTCAGCAACCAAGCAGCCAGGGGCTCCCCCTGTTTCTGCTGGAACTGTCTCCCCAAGCCAACGAATTCAACCTGGGTATACAGGACATAGGTAGTGAATTGGGTCACCTGTAGATCACCTGCTGGTATTCTGCCTGGTCCTATAGGCTGCTCGTGCTTCACTTTCTGTTGCATGGCAGGTCATGCCTGGAGATGCATGGTCTCCCCCAACTCACCACTAGGTTTTTCATTCTCCGTGGTGTGAGAGGCAGGGGTGCCCAGTCACAGCACATCATCCTCCAGAACAATTATCTGTGCTTCCAACAACTCTGCTTTCTTCTTTAAATCTCAATCAGATTGCTGCAAAGTGAGCAGTAGCCAGGCTCCAGTCAGCAGAAAAGTGGCCACCGGGCACCGCATACTCAAGGACAGCCACATTTCCTCCCCCTCCCTAAGGGCTTTCTGAGGCCACATTACTTCATCGAGTGCCTGGTCTTTGCTGACTTGCAGTATAGCAAGTAGCAACCAGATCCCTGTCCACAGGAAAGAGAACATAGGGCACAACATATTCAGGAGTAGCCACATTTCCTTCCTCTCCCAAGGGGCTTTTGGTTCCTGTACCTGCTCAAAATCCTGCTGACTATGCCAGTTTTAAACTAGTACTAGGACTCACAGACCATTTTCCTATATTTTCCCAACAATAGCTTTTTAACACACACCTGAAAGAGGTGAGGAGCAAGTCAGGATAAACTAAGTGTCATGAAGTAGGAATGAGCATGGAATGTGTAAGAACCATCGAGAGGACAGTGTGGTCAGAGAAGGGAGAGCAAGGGAAGGATGGGAGGAGATTGTCAGAGAATTAAAGGGAGTCTGGGAGGTAGATCAGGGAGGGCTCCTAGGCCATGTAAGGAATTTGCCTTTTGCTGTGAAGCAGAAAGCTACTTCATTCTGTTGAGAATAGGCCAAACCTGGAAGCAGGAAGATCTCTGAGAAGGCTATCACAATAATCTCGGCAGGATATAATACTGACGGTTTGGACCCAGGTGGTGCTAGTAGCAGACCTGGATAAGAAATCTTCTCATGAAGTCAGATTTACTGATGGATTTGTCGTAGGCTGGAGGGAAAGGGGAGATCAAGAATGACTCTACCTGGATGAATCTGTAGGACATTATGCTAAGTGGAATAAGCCACAGAGAGACAATATTGTATGTTGTCACTTACATGTGCAATCTAAGAAGATCAAAATCATAGAAGTGTAATGTAGGGAAAATATAGGAAAATGGTCAGGGCCCCGCAGATGTTCAGAATCTTGTGGAGCATTTGATCTAATAAACAGGCACGTATGCCCAGGTGTTCCTTGGTTATTGTCTAATGTAATTGTGCATGTGCACTCAGGTGTGCTGGGTTATAGACTTAAGTATAGAGGATGAATGGCTCTGATCCACAGGGTCCCCTGCCCCTGGGGTGCCCCCAGGAGGGCCACGGGGAGGCTGCTACTGTTGCTGAAAGCTGTTGCTGCAAGCTGTTGCTGCCGGTGCCCCAGGGATGCCCTGAGAGGCGACTGCCACTACTGCTTCTGCTGCTACTGCTGCTGTAAGCTGCTGCTGCTACTGCTGAGGACTGAGCTCGTGTTGTCGGCCAATGGCTCCTGGAATCTTTCCCAGTCACCTAGCATGGACCTGCATGTGAGGGGTCTGTGACTCAGTCCGTACAATGGGTTTGAAGGGTTCGAGCCCTAGCCCTGAGAATACAAATGGAAACTTAGTATAACTAAAATGATGAAATGTTTTGGCTTTAGTTATGAAATGCTTAGCCATACAATTAGCGTAGCTATTGCTTTAACCTGACAATTGGCGTAATCATGTAGCTTTACACCTAGAGTAGAATGGTGGTTGCCAGGGGCTGGGAGCTTGAGGAAATGGGTGATCTTGGTCAAAGGTACAAATTTTCAGTCATAAGATGAATAAATTCTGAAGAGCTGATATACACATAGTGATTATAGTTACTAACACTATATTTTTTACTTAAAATTTGATGAGAGCAGATTTTAAATGACCTCACTTCCAAAACACACAGAAATGGTAACCATGTGTGGTGATGGATGTGTTAATTAATTTGATTGTGGTAATCATTACACAATGTATACATATATCAAGTCATCATTTTGTTCACCTTAAATATATACAATTTTGTTTGTCAATTAAATATTGTAAAATACAAAAGAAGACTCTATGGCTTGAGTAGTTGCCATTAACTGGAGTGGGGGGAAGACTACAAGGAAGTCTGGTTTAGGGAGGTTAAATTTGAAGTACAGATGGAAATGTCACTGTTTTCCTTTCATATAAGGTTAAATACAAACTGAAACAAAATAAAATCCTTTTGAAAGTTTTTTTCCAACGTAAACATAATGGAGAACTTTTCTTAAACATATTTCTTAAATTAACCTCCTTAATTTACCTTATATAATGCTAAGCATCTTTTGGTGCCTTTTAAAATAAATCACTATTTAGGAAAAACAGGTATATTAGTGGGTAAATAAATAAAATTATAAAATGTCCTCATAAATTGATTTTTATATAGTAAATGATTAAACAAGATTCATTATTCATTCATTGAATAATTATTTGTAGAAGTTTTCTATGTGTGGTTCTGTTTTTGCACTTGGGATACAGTAATAAAAATAACAAGCAAGGTTCCTGCCCTCATGTAACTTACAATAGAAGAAACAGGCAATAAATCATTAACAAATATACAGTAAAATTTTATGTAGCTATCAAAGGTCATGAAGACAGAGCAGAGTATGAAGATGGAATGTGATCTTTCTAGGAAGTTCTAAAGTAAGAATAAGCCTTGGTTGAAGAACTCTTGAAGTGTATAAGTTTTTGACAAGTTCCTATCCTGTTAGGACATCTTTTTTTGTTAAGGTAATATAAGCACATCGCATAAACAGAGAAAAATTTTGTGTTTATATCTTAAGCATCCCAAAAAATCCTTTACCTTAAAGATTACACTCATCTTTTAGTACTTTACTTCTAAATTTAATTTTATAAGTGAGTGGCTATGCCCACATTTATTAATTTTACAAAGATTAAACATGGACAATAATAGTTATAAATAGTTGTTACCTTTTATTTAATGCTTCCTTACTGTGTGTCAGGTACTTTTCATAAGTGTTAGACATGTATTGTCTCATTTAATTCTTTTTCTGGTGAAGTGGTTACTATTATTAATTCCCATTATGAATAAACCAAGACACAGAGAGGTGATCTATCTGGAAAGTGCAAGAGCTGGATTCAAACAGGCAATCTGATTACCAGAACCTGTACTCTTAACTTCTATATGATTATTTATATATTATTAATGTCTTAACTTCTATATGATTATTTACTTATGATTTATATGATTCAGTGGTTATTTATTCCCTTATTTTGTTAAAAACAAATATCCTAAATATGTGTATGATGGTTCATTTATTGCTTTCATGTATAGTGTGTGCAAGGTGAAGAAGCCAGAATGAATGACCTTACAACTCTGGATAGGAAAGCCCTCTTACAGCAAGGTTATGCAGACAACCCTTACACTACACAACAGAGTGCAAGAAAATCAGATGCAGTAAGTTATTAGTGTTTTTATTTATTTGACAAGCCATTAAGATAATTTTCCTTATAAGATCTTATAGGCTTATAATGGAGTAAATAATTGCAACAATTGAATTTGGACTTAGGTGAATATTAAAGTGAAAATCGAGTCCTCATTTTAATAAATGATTGACTATTGCATATTTTCTGTGGAAAATTGTCTTGCATCTATGAGAGTTTGTAAACATTTAGTTTATACTGTTCAAAATGTTAGTCGGCAGCTATTTATGTTAGTGGGCTTATTTGGCATCTCCTCCTCATCCCAAAAAGTAGCCTGATTATTTTTCTGAAAATCCTAAGCTACTAACACTAGAGAAATTCATGTCAGTTAAGGAAAGGGCTAGGAATGAAGTAATTTTTCTTTAGGAAAAGTGAAGCAAAACTCCCGACTCTCTACTAACTTTAAATTATGTCTTTTAAAAAACCAGTTAAATTTATGTGTATTGCTTAGATCAGTCCTAATAAAAATGGATAATTATAGCATTTCTGTAGTGTAAGGGAATCAAACTGTTTGAAGTTAGAGTTGACTGGCTCTAAGACACTGTCCAGGTGATTAATTTCTTAGGCATACCTGTAACAGATCGATGGAATGTTAGTGTGGTAGCTTAAAAGTTGGGAAAACTGTGGTTTAGATAGACTAAATAATAATAAAGCAATATGGGTTCAGCTACTTACATTATCATTATTGTTGAGGGGAATTTCATTTGTGTCACAATTATCTGGAATCAATATGTTATGAATTAACAGCAATGTGTAGTCAGTCTCTGGACTAGGTTAATTGATTTTATGTGGATGTTCCAAGTTGTGAATTTGTTACAGTTCTTTCACTAAAACCACATATATTATTTTCTATGCTTTTTATTATTTAGATATTTATGCTTGATAGAATAAGCAGTATTACCAGGATTATCCTAAAAATAAAAAAAGCTACTTTATAAGGCAAAATATTGTTCCAAATAAGGCTTATTTTGATACATTCCTGAAATTATATTTGAAAGTGATGTTACCAATGCTTAAGACCCATTGAGTATTTTTCTTGATATAACCCAAAGCTATCTGGGTGTTAGTGGATTTCTTTTCCTTAC